GCAATGGGGCTTGGATTTAGAGAGCACTGAGCTTCAATCCATCAAAGCAGTCCAAAAGCACACCTGACTTAACACGTGAGAAACAGTTTTGACACATTGCATAATCATGCCCTCAGTATATTACAGAGATTTATATATGCAGTTCAGTAGTTAGAAAGAAGTAGACAGTGTGCTACTTCCACACCAGTACAGTGCCCACCAGTAATCTTAAACTGAGAGGCAGTGTGAAAGTCTGTGTGGGTAGAGAAATAACAGGGGACAGAAAGAGTTTAGAAATATGGATAGGAAATAAATTTAGATTTAACTTGGGAGAAATGCAAGCTGAGACACAAGGAAAGATAATCTCCACAGAAACAGCCATTCAGTGAGATGGAAAAATCTAAAAAGAGAAGATCAAGTCATTGCTTACTTCCTGGAAAGAGCAATTGATATGAATGTTGAAAATAAAATGGCACTGGCCAGTACAAACAAAGACAACCCAGCTATGAGCAGCAAAGCAGCAATTCTGTTCTATAAAACCCTAGGGAACCAGCTTCTAGAATGCTCTGCTCATTTCTGGTTGTTTTAATATCAACATACTGATAAGCTGGAATGAATGAATGAATGAATGCATGAAAAAAACCCAACAATAAAATGGCTACTGAGAAGAAGAAAAAATAACTGATTAATTGGCAAATAAAGGTATGATAAGGTATGGACACACTGGACAATGAAGAACAAGTTACAGAAAAGTAACAGTAAAAATTCAACTGGCCTGCATGGTATCACTTGGGTGTTACAGAAATACTTTAACAAATAATGAATAGCAGGTAGTCTCTGAGCAACTCTATTCCTGACTGCTGATGTCCAGCAGCTTCCCTTTGCATGGATTCTCTACCTCTTGCAAAAGGGGATTTTAATGAGTCTTTTCCTTATTGGGACACAAAATTTCAAGCCCAATGGCAACAGTCAAACCAGGGCAGAGCACATTTTGCCAGAGCACAATGAAGGGCAGGTTTCTCACCTTCACCAAATAAAAGCTGCAGCTACCCCATGTGCACCCAAAGGGCATGACACAATCAAATGACCAAAGAACAAGTTCCTGTAGTGGAAAGAAAGATACCTGGCACCTGGGGACAGCTCACTGAAGACTAGATTTATGCCTGAAGTTGCCTACTTTTAAATTAAGTACTGCAGCCAATCCAATGTTTAAATCACAAAACAAATGGGAAGGTGGCCAGTATCCCGAGTATCTTGTTTAAATGATCTACAAAAGGATCATCTGTAAGGTTCCTTCCAACTCCAACCATTCTATGATTCTATACACCCATAAAACTTGACCATGTTCTAAGATTTCCAAGCTCTTATATTTGAAATGTTTCTCTTAGAAGACAGTATGGGAAGCCTGTATCTAAATTGTTTAGGCTAAATTCTTTTACTCGATCCTATCTAAATATTTGCATTGTAATTTTAACTTATGTCAAGGCACTATATTATCCAGCTTCTGTTTTGAATTAATCAGCAGGGCATTAGTTAATAAGATGGTTTTATTACTCTAATCCCAAAAAGGAACACATCTTAGGTAATGGAAATAATGGAGTTAGATATTTATACATACTAAGACTGTGACATACTGAAAAAGACCCCCATACAGTCTGCATTCTTTTCTCTCTTTGCTACTTCTGCTTAGTTACTTGAAATTATACATCCAGTATTGTTAGTGGCAACAAAAAAAATAAAGGACTTAGTGAAGCTTCAGTTAAACTACACAGCTTTGCTGGTGCACAGTTAATAAATCAAGTTACCTGCTACAAACATTCAAAACTGCTGTGATTTTGCAGTACATAGCAAAAGGCAGAGAAAACTGGATAAAAATTAAATTTATGTGTACCTCAGATAATACAGATCTAAAGCCATAACTTTGATTCACTTTTAAGCTTTACATTTCAAACCCACCCAGTCTGACTATCTAAAATCAACATTTAATGCTCACAAAAGAAGTGGGAACATAATGAGCAGGAATGTCAAGCCAGGAAGAAGCAATAATTTTACTTATTCAAAAAAAAAAGAAGGTTGAAGCAGAAGTGGGATAAGGCTAATACAAATATTAAGCTTTAAAGAAAATTGACTATTAGGAGACATTGGCTTTTGGTCCTGACATTTTCTGCACTAGTTCAAAGTGGTAATTTATGATGTTAAAAGCATTCATTTCATAGTCCATAGGGGGGAAAAAAGGTGTTTAAAAGTTAAGAAATAAAAATCTACCTTGGCCAGCATGGCTGTGAACATTATTTAGCACCAAGTACTTCATGGGCTTAAAATTTTTCAATGATGCTACCTATTAATATACAGTTTCAGGGTTATTGGAAGAAAGATGGTCAAGACATATTTCTCATCATGAATCTGCTCATCCTCGATTCCAATATGCTCTTAATATACCTCACTTATCTCAGCAGTAACTCCTCCTGTTGGCACCTGAATTAATCAACGCAAGATGTTGGCATTCATGAAGAATGGTACCTGTTTGTTGATGTCAGCCACAGTATCATCATGCAGAAACTCCTCTGGCACTTCCACTTTCACCAAGAAACGTGCCAGGTAAGCTCTCTTCTTGAGTTCATTGGTCCTCTGAAGAAGCCAGTGTAGGAGAGGATGAATTACAGGTTTGCTTCCAGCCACTAACCCTTGGCGAAATGCACTCCTATAGGAAAACAACAAAAAGAAAATACCTCAAAGTAAAGAGCACTGGCTTGGAACAAACAATTTGCAGTATTTTGATGTTCCTCCTCCACTTGCCTAATGATTTCTTAATGCTGTTAAAGAACAAAACCTTCATGATGCCAATTTGTTATTTATGGTCTCAATTCTGCTACCCTGAGACAGATAAAACCCCCATAACACATCAGAAGGTTAAAGCGGCCACCATGACTCTTCCTTTTCTGCTATATTCTTCAGGAATAAAGGGGAAGAGTGTGGATTTTCTGGGTTACAACCAGGCGCAGGAGGGTGCAACCCAGCCTCGGGCGGCTGGTCCGAAGGGAATGGATGGGGAAGGGAGTGCCCCTGCCAGTCATGGGGCACCCTCTCCTGGCTTGCTCCGCAATAGCAGCCGCTGCAGCATGGCCCGAAGGGCAGTCTTGGCTGGTAACCCCTATAGCTCACCCTATAGGGAAAACGGACAGGCTGTCCTCAAGGCATTACATGTACCCACCCGGGCAGTCGAGGTCAAAAATACACCCAACTATTGAATTCAAGGTCCGTATAAACTGTAAAAGATGTTTTACTATGGTTTGTAGGCAAATAGATACTTACAAGTCCGATACACTTCCTGGAGGTTTGTATTTAAGGATACCAAGAAGATTCAACATCCTTTTAGCTGTTTGCTCCGGCAGCTCCTCTCTAATATCAACAGCATGCTGGATGGTTTAAAAAGAAAATTAATTACCCACCATTTGTCCAAGTCATGTTAGTTAAAAACTAAAAGAGTTTATCCATTCATCATATGTCAATGAAGTGAGATGCTCCATTACAGAACATAGTTTTTAGCACTGAACTTCAATTCTCTTCTAATGGATTTATTCAGGTAAATTTACTCTAGGAATACATCCTGCCTGCTCATGAGACCTCATCTATGCAGACAAAACAATCACTGCCACCAAAGAAGCCAGATATCCAAGCACACCAAGGGCACATGTATCTGCACTCCAGGTGTATGAACGATCCCTTCTATCTTACATGGTTTTGGTAACCTCACAGGAGAGAGATTCAATATCTACTGCAACAGCTAATTTGATGGTTCAGTTCTTGGCCAGTTGTGCGAGACACAGCCTGACATCTGACTTAAGAACACAGTGGTTGGCAGCATGAACCCAGTTAAGAGCTGTATCCTGATTCCCAAGGAAAAATACAGTCATCACTCTCCAGAGGACAGGCATCCAATATCCCTGGCCCAAGAAATACTGCTGGTTTGCCAAAAACACTTGGATGTATAGACAGGAAGGATTCTTGCCAGGCACATTTATTTCCAGGAAGCTCCATACAAGCTACATTGGTAAACTGAACATGCCACAAGATGATGCAGAGCCAGACCTAAATAAAAGCAGATTTCTGTATCAACCCCATATGAGATGTCCACAACTATGCAGGCCTGAGCACCTCTGTTTGCCATCCTTACCTTTGGGTCAATCTCTCCCAGAACATCAGTGAGCAGCTGCAACAGCTGCATTGGCCCTAAGGAGTCAAACGTGATTAAATTGTAGTTCTTCTTGAAGGGCTCCTGATTGAGCTTCTCAACAATGAACTGGATTTGGTCACTCATTATCGTGTCCTGGAACAAAAACCTCTGCAGAAGAGCTCTGAGGAGGCCTCAGCGAGGCGCTGCCAGGAGAGCGGGTGAAGGCACCACCTCAGTGAGGGCCGTAGGTGGTGAGCTGGCACCAGACTCGGCGGAGCACGACCCGGCCGCTCCCTCACTGCCCCTGCAGCCTTCAAAGGTCGGTCAGGGCCCTTCACCGCGACTGTGGGGGGTCAGCGGGGCCCAGTTCCGACGGCAAGGCCCTGCGGCACCGGGTCGGCCGCGGCCTCGTCCTCCGGTTACCTTGGTAACGGTTGCCAGGCCAGGGCGGTGGCGTCACTTCCGGCGTGCGTCTGCCAACGCGCCAGAGCGGCGGGAAAATGGAGGGCGGGGGAAGAGTGAGGGGGTGTCAGCGCATGCGCAGAGCGGCGGGGCGCGGTGAGGCGGTGCCGGGCTGAGGAGAGGCGCGGCCGCCGCGGCGGGATGGGCAGGGCCGAGCCGGACATCGGTGATGGAGGGCGGGTCCTCGCCTTCTCGCTTGTGCGGCTGTTCCTCGCACCCCACGGGAGGTAAGGCGGAGCAGGCCGTGAGGCCTCTCAGCTGCGCCGTTTTGCCAGCCCGGTGGGGCTCTGGGAAGCTCAGCTCCCGCCTCAACACACGCTTTTCCCTCCCTGAATTAGGCAGGAATTGGGATTTTCTCGTTTCCAGACCAAAGCGGCCCTGCCTGTGACATGGGGTGTAGCCCCAGCGCCATTCCAGACAGGGGTTTAGCACTGGGGTCCTGTCCATGCTGTGTGGGAAGCTTGGCTGTGGGTGATGCTGGGGTGTGTGCTCCATAGGCCAAGTCTCTTGTGGGGTTTCTTCACAGCACAAGTGCTCTTGATGCAAGGAACAGCAGAAATAGGTTTGAGATTCACCCTCTACAGTATATACTTAGCTCTGCGGTTTCTTCAGAGGGAGGCTGTTGTCGCATGTGTAGGAGATGTACAAACAGATTGATGCAGTTACCCAATTAAGACTTCTGGCAGTCTTTGACAGCATAAAGAGATGTCAAGTGTGGCTGATACATCCATCAGGTGAATGGTTACTTCATCACTTGGAAATGGGAAAACATTCAGAGGACGCGAGTCCTGTGCCCAAGCTTCATCAGGGGCAAATGGCAAATTTATGTCCTTGGAGTTGAGCATCAGTTGTCAGCGTGCCTCAAAGTAGCGATAAATATGTAGTGTGAGCTATGCTAAATGTGAGGCAGGGACAGGAGCTTCCAACACACCAAACAATCAGAAATAGGCTATATATTAAAGTCAGTGTTGTTTACGAAATGGGTATCTCTTGATCGGCAAGTTTTTCAGAGCCTTCAAACCCCATGCTTAGACCTTAAATAGGTGGATTTTGGAGCCTTTGCTATTGCAATTAGCTTCTTGGATAGTCTCAGAATCCCATGTGATTCCACAGATGATGGATTAAAATATGCAGTGAGTCATATTAAATTGGTGCCAATTGAAATGCACAGGTTGTAAATCACTGCAGAATTTGACTCAGTAAATAGCAATCATAAATGTAATACTTTGCAATTCTAAGCACCGCATTTATCTTAGGTTAGCTCCTTTTCTTTCCGAGGAACAGAAAATGCTTCATAAAATAGTGATTTACTGGTTTTAATGAGAAGCCTGAGAAGTGCCACTGCATTGGTGTCCTAGCTTTTGACTGGCTAAACTAAGTTACAGAGGGGATAGATGGGTTGCTTGTGATTGTGCATGAAAGCTGTGGTAGAGCCAGGAACATAATCCAGATCTCCTGACTCCTGCATTTGAACTTTAAAACCAGATCATGTTTCCTTTGTGCTTTCAGGCTGTATACTGACCTTTAGGAGTTGTATTTACCTACAAGTTCCCAGAAGAGATCTGCTTTCCTTTGACATGTTTTCCAGGTATCAATTACACTTTTCTTCTGATGAGTATTTTGAGCATGTGGAAAACACAGAGGGAGAAATGAAAATGGTGTTTCTTGTGGGTGCTCTGGGCCAGGTCTGCTTTAATAGGTAGTAGGGACCACTTCAGGCTAGAGAAACACTGTTTCTGTAGATACTCATACACATCCTTTCTTCCAACTTTGGTGCGGGGTAGAGAGCAGTTGTGCCTGCAGTGCTGAGGATGAAGAGGGCTCTGTGCTGGGTACAGTGGGAGGGTGCTGCTCAAGGAGTCTCCTTTACATCAGACTATTTCAGTCCCCACACCTTCTAAGAAGCAAAGGACCATTCCCCTCTTCTCATGTAGCATTAAAGAAGCAACAGATAAAGAAGGGGAAGGGTGTCTGAAAGATTTAGAAAACACCAAGATGAGAAGAAAAAATGATGGTGAAATTGTTTAACTTTGTCATAGTGGAAACCCATGAAATCTCATTGTCCTGACTCCTGGGGAAGGAGACCTCTCTGACCAAACATCATTAGAACTAGACTGCCTGAGCTCTGGCTTGCTGGCCTATTTGAAAGCTCAAGTGATCGAAGGCAGGAGCAAACCCGTATGTTGGAGGTCAGTTCTATGGGACTTCCCAACCTGGGGGAAGTATCAAGGATCCTGTGTTGTCCTTAAAGTTGTATGTTTTCATGATCCTTTCCTCTAAGAGTTTTGTGCTATTCAAAGCAGCCACGCTGTTACCCCAGGCTGCCTGCCTACTATTGCTTGATACTTACAATCTCTAGTGGTGTCTGAATTTTCATGCTGTCTATAAAAGAAAATGAAGGCTTAGCTCTACATCTTGACCTCTGTATCACAACAGAATCTTCCGAGACATGAAAGAGATGATAGTTTCAGTGCATCCCTGGGTAAATATTACAGGAAGTAGCTGAGATATTTGTTTGATGCTTAACTGGTCTTAAGTTCTCTTAGTTGGGGCAATGCAGTATCTGGATCAAGTCTTGCAGAGTCAAAGTGTTCATATATATTTGTTGTGTATTTTTCCAAATTCCCAAGTTAGTTTGCATGGAGAGTGATACAGCAGTTTCCTGATGACATAACATGAGACTTATTACACGGTTCAGCCCTAGAGTTCCATCCACTTCTCTGGATAGGGCTTATGTTTCCTGTTGCTTACGAAAGGCTTATGGAAGCTGCTAATTGAAAAGGGATTGTGCAGAGGCGACATGTGGAAGGAAGGGAATGGAGCCTGCAAATAAACTATCTGGAGCTCTTTAGATCTGCAGGCCTGGCTTCATTGCTCCCTCCTGACTTTCTCCTCCCTTTATAGCTACTGCTGTGTGGATGACTGCCTTGCAAAACTGAGAGAGCTCGGCCATAGAGGCAGCAAATCAGAGTGGAACGAAACCTGAGCAAATCCAAATCATGCTCCATGGCCAGAGATCACCTTATATGGGAACATCAAGGGCAAGAAGAGGAGTATGTCCAGATGAGTTGCTGAGGTCAGATCCCAGACAGAGGAAAGATGTTAATGTGAAAACAAGAGCATTTAGGAAGAGAAGACAGCACTTATTCCTGCTTTTCTTCTACAATCTGAGCCATCTTGTTTGTCTCTCTTATTATAAATAGTACTATGTGTATGTATACATAACAGTAAGTCTGACTGTTATATTAAAAATCGATTTCTCTGTGGCTCTTCTAGCAGCAAAATGTATCCCAGGTCTGTTCCTAGTTCTCACTTGCAGCTTTTTCAATTCTTATTCCGTAGCAGGATTCTGCTTGCTGAAGTGGCACTGATACCAAGCCAGCAGTGTGGACTGTGGTCAGCAAAAGCCTGTTTGCTAAAGCATTTAAGACAGTGCCAACAGCAAGAAGCCTGTCTGGTTCTGAGTGTCTTGTCATAACTACAGCCATAGGTAGCATCTTGGGTGATTTAAAATACTAAAGGATTGGAAGAAAAACATTAGGTCTTTGTTGTAGGGTTTGTATATTTTGTGCCTCTCTGTGGGTCTTCGGCTGCAAGACCCTGGTCTTTTAATCTGGGTCTAATGGATTCTGAGCTCATATTCTTGTCTTTCAAACTCTGAGCCTGAGATTTACAGGTCCCACCTTAACAGCTCTGCATCTTTACAGCTTCACCTCCTGTGTTTTCAGTGTGGATGGTGGCCTCACAAATGCTTCTTGATCCCCTGGACCAGATACAAATGTTGGTTTGCAGCACACTGACCAGCTCTGGCTTGTGCATGGCTCTGTGTAGTTGAAGAGGCTGCAGCCAAAGTATGTGCTATGCATTGGCTCTGCTAAGAGAAGTAGTGACTTTGTCACCCCCTTGTAATCCCATGACCTGATACAAAACTGATTTAAGAGCAAATAGCACAGTGTCGCATGCAATGTGAGATAAGAAACTGGAGGTTTCTGTGGCCATTGGTGACCCAAAAGCTTGCTTTAGTGTTGCTTTCCATGGCTGTTGTCAGCCCTGTGAAGTGAGTGCTGCATGCGTCTTCCTGGTCCAGAAGTGCATTACACTTTCTTTGCACTAGTGCATTACATTTTCTTTGCACTGGTGCAGAGTGTTGGGTGATGGAGAGTCAGGCTTAGGAGGAGATCAGCTTGATGCTGGCTTCCATCCATTTATCCTCATCTCTGCAATTGTCCCGGGGTTACTTCAGCCTGGCAAAGTCTGGTAGTACTTAGAAGGGATGATGCCACCAACAGAAGGTGACATAAACAGCGGTGAGCACTCAGCTCTGGAGCTCCAGGAGGAATTACGGTGCTTTCTCTGTGAGCAAACTGAAGGATGTGGCTCTTTGGGCAGTTCCTGATTCCATAAGGCCTGAGCAAATGTCTCTTGTATCGGGGGTTGTCTGGTTACAATTTGGCTTTCAGTACTTTGAGTTTTGTGGCAGCAAACAGGATCATTGATCTGGTAGCAGACCATTCCTGGAAGGTGGATGTGGTTGTGGGAACATTGTGGTAAGAGTGTGGCATAGGATGTTATCTAACAAGGCGGAGTTGCTTGGGCAGAGTTAACTAAGCTTCCTCTAAAAAACACTTGCAGTTTTGTTTCTTGTCTGAAAACCCAAAATAACTCCATGGAATAACCTCAGATTTACACCAGTGCTTATAAGATTAGAGTCTGCTCTGTGGAGTCTCCTATTCAGGGTCAGATGAAATGGCCACTCAGGCCTTGCACCAGCTTTCAGGAACAATAAGATGTTTTAGGAATATGCAATAATTGATTGCCTCTAAAGGGCATATTTTCCTCTTTGCTGCCAAACTAGGCCTGTTCTCCGTGATAAGTGTTTGCTGAACAAAGTCTGCTGAAGTTCATGAAGTTGGTTTCATTCTCATGGGAAGGCAGCAAGCCAGGACATTGAGAGCAGTGATCCCAATCTCACGCAGAATCAAGTCTGCAGGAAATTCAAGTTGCCTTACTAAGGTACTATACCCACCTACTGCTGCTCAGAGCTGCCAGTTTCCAACGACATGGTTATCCCACAGAACTGTTCTCCAGGAGGAAAAGACTCATCATAATAGAGGATATAAATAAAGGAACATTGATCAGCTGCTTTGTATTTCTGTTCTCCAGATACTATTTTATCTCCCTTCAGAACAGTCTGTTGTCAAACTGAAATGGTGCTAGCTCTTATGGCTTGTTTTTCAAAGCAAACCTTTTATATCACTTTTATGTAATGTAGAAAGTATCTTCTGAACATACAGTAGTTTTTCAAAGTTGACAGTGCTTTTATGAGTTAGATGAGTTCTATGACTTTCCTGTCAGCTTAAAAACAGAGGCATCCTTCCTTTTTTTATTAACACATTCAATTCATGGGAAAGTAAAAATGTTAGGCCAAGGTTTTTTGAAGAAGTCAGCATGAAGCACAAACCCAGTCACTCTGGAAAGCTAAGGACTAAGTATTCTAAGCTTTCATAAAAAAGCATGGAGAGGATGTTACAGTTTGGGGTAGAAGTCCAAGTCTAGGCATGCAACAACTCAGCATGGATGAAAGTATTGGCATGACATCAAGCCCTGTTGCAGTTAATTTGTGTTTCAAAAATGGCATCTGAGGAGCCAGGATGTCACCTCAGGTTGCCTGCATCATTTAGGATGGGAAAATAGAAATTCTCTTCTTGCATATATCAGTTTGCTTCTGACAAAGCCAAAAGTAGCAGAAGTGAAACGGAGGCAGACTTTGGTCGGGTTGGTGCAAGTGTCTCACTCAAAAAGGTTCTCAATTACTTGAAAATGTCCAGCTGACTTTTATCTTGCAGGGCATTTTATCCTAGAATGATAGAAAGAAACTGACCTGGTTTATCATTGTGGACTTACTTGTCCATTCTGTTTTATCTAGCAGTTGTATGGTCATCGCTTGCAGACTCCGTAGGAGATAGATGAATTAACAGCTGGATTTGCACTAGTGCAAAAGGAGTTGCTTACACGAAGGACAGGATCTGGGATACAGCAGAATTTACCAATGCAGGCAAGTCTTAATGTCAATCCAGTATCAGTTTCTATTGATACATCTGGTTGCTTTCCTGACATGTCTCTATCTTACTTAGCATAATTACATTACACTGGAGTCACCAATGTCTAAAGCCAGATCTTCCATTCCTCCCTTTTTCCTGTCTGAGCCAGGTAGGATGTGGATGTCTGTCATGGGGAGTTAGAGCAGGAACAGCCTTCTTGTCCTTCCTGGTGATGTTGACTTTCACTGGCAGAAGTATGGGACTGTTAATAAATAAAGAATTAAATACTCCACTACTAAAGTTACTGTGCTTCATAATACAGAAGAGAGTGTGAAAAATGGGAAAAGGCAGAAATAATGAAGGAAAATATTATTGTAGGCAAGGAAAGGGCTTTTTCCTATTTTTTGCAGGTAGCTGAGCCTTTACCTCCAACAAGCCAAATAATTAATAAGGGCTATACCTCTCTACAGTGTTTTCTCTTATTTGGTAGTTTTACAGTGCAGCTGAGTAAGATTTCTTACATAGGTATGGAAGGGGAGATATTTATATTGCTCTTTTATGTAATTATCACTTTCCCTGGTAAAGACCAAACGCTCACAGAAAATGATTTCTAGGAGTGCAAAAAGAATTAAGGTTTTCTGCCCACCTTTATATCCTTGTTTTAGTAACTCTCATTTACATAAACTTTTAACCAAAACAGTTGGTTTCTGAGTCTATTCCAAGACTCAGATATGTAACTGCATATAAAACTGTGAAGGAAATTACTTCACCCTCAGCCCAAACAATGACAAGCAGTGTTGGTTGACCCAAGCCAATGGCTGAATAAGGATTGATGAGGTGTGGCAGGACCATGGTTTGGGTAGTTCTTACAGCTTCCTCCTATAGAAAGCTGTAACAATCTGAAATGTCAAGCTCCCTGTCTTAACGTTTGAGGAGGAATCCACTGATGTATTGAAACTGTCTCTAATTAGTGAAAAATTCTTGTCTTTGCTAAGTAAGAGCTTCTTCCTCTACAGGAATTCCATCAGGAAGATGTGTGAATTATGATCATACTGTTAAAACCTGTGAGGTCAGGGCATGGTGCCCTGTGGAATCCCTGGGAAACCCCTCTGGGTAAGTGCAATCTGCATTTATTTTATGTGAAAAGGAGGATTTATTTTGACAAAGTCATGATACTTTAGGAGAATCCCTTTGCCTAGGCACATATAAATCTCATGTACATAAAGCAGCTATTTCCTTCACAGCCATACTGTTAACACTCATAATATCTAAGTAAATTACTTCTAACAATCTGTCCTGCTGTATGATTCTGCAGTGAAGTCATAGCTTCACTGATACACTTTGTATCATCATGCAGCTGCCATAGAAACAGTTTTAGATGTCACAGGCTCCTCTTGAATTCACTAGAGGCATTTGGCTCATTAATTCAAATGTCAAGGAAAATGCATCAGTGTAAGATGGGTTTAATCAGGGACAGAAAGGAAAAGTTCCCTAACTTGGGGTTTCCTCTGCAAGGCTTTATAGTGTAGAAGTTCTTTGTGGGTTCACTTCTCCCAGTGAGGTTGCTTCCTCCTCCCAGAACAATAGGGGTAGGTTGGTTGTCTGCACATTGTGCTGCAGCTAGTGTTTGGGGATCCATGTCAGGCTGAAGAACAATCTCTTCATCCTCTCTAGGTAGATGATGAAAACCTCAGTGCTGGCAGTCTGTAACAGTGAGCTGGAGAAACCTCTAGGAAAAGGGCTCCATGGAACAATGCTGCTGTGACCTAGGAAGAAGGATGCAGGGCCCTCATAGCCATCTTTTTTTTGTAACCCCATGACTGTACAGTGTTCTAAGATGAAAATGTGCTATTTCTATTCTGTACCAGCCAAAGCATGAAAAAGCCTATACAGGATTTGATTTCAATTGAAATGATGCAAATTACTCTCTAAGAGAGCAAATGAAGCAGCTTTGAAGTGTATGTGCGAGAAACTAGGTCAATTATCACTTCTATTAACTCATTCCTTTTAAAAGATACAAGTATGATTCTATGCATGTATCCCATCTTTTCCCTAATTTGGGGTTTTTTTGCAGAGACTGAGCAGTTTCTCCACTGCCAGGTCCCTTCCAGAGCCCACAATGCCTCCTACAGCTCCTTCTGCTGACTTTTTTTCAGGTCTTTGAAAGAATTGCCATTCTTTTCTCCTGTGGACAGAGTTGGGATCTGAAAAAGGCTTTGTCCAACAACAGGAAGGCTGTAATTGTTCATACAGCATCCGGGAAAGATATGCATGAGCTTCCTGAGTTAATGAAATCCTAGGGTTTTTTATGAAGTTTCAGTGACTGCCAGTCAG